CTAAGATACAAACACACACATTAGCCTAGGCCTACACAGGGTCAGGATCATCAGTATCACTTTCTTATATATCCACATCTCGTCCCACTGGAAGGTCTTGAAGGACAATAACACACATGGAGCTGTTATCTCCTATAATAGTAATGCCTTCTTCTGGAATACCTCTTGAAGGAGCTGCCTGATGTTCTTTTACAATTAACTTTTTCTTTTATAAGTGGAAGGACTACACTCTAACATAAAAATAAAAAGTATTGTATAGTAATATATAAAGCAGTAACAATTGTTATCAAGTATAATGTACTATACATAATTGTGTGTGATATACATCTATACAATTAGTGGTGCAGTAGTTTTGTTTATACCAACATCACCACAAACACTGAAGTAACACATTGATTGGGCTATGATGTTATGATGGCTTTTATGACATTACTGGGCAATAGGAATTTTTCAGCTCCACTATAATTGTGGGACTATTGTTGTATATGCAGTCTGCTGTTGATCAAGATGTTGTTATGTGGTGCATGACTGTATATGCAAGACTGTGACATTAGTTTTACACTAATATCACATAGAATGTACCTTCTTAGAGTGATACATTTGTGTGGCTTAAGATGCAAAGGGACCAAGAGCCCTGGGTTCTAGCTTGGCTGCTTGGCTACAAGCTTGTTTGCTTTTCTCTGTGTCTGTTTTCTCAGTAGATTGAAGGGCTTCAGCTACTTGGGAGGCTGAGTCAGGAGGACTGCTTGAGCCCAGGAGTTTCAGCCCTGCCTGGGCAACATGGCGAGACCCCTATTTTTTAAAACAAAATCTGCCTGGTGAGCTGGCTCATACTTGTAGTCCCAGCTACTCAGGAGGCTGAGGCAGGACCATCGCTTGAGCCCAGCAGTTCAAGGCTGTAGTGAGCTATGGTCGTGTCACTGCACTCCAGCCTCGGCAACAGAGCAAGACTCTGTCTCAGAAAGAAGGAAAAAGAGAGGGGGAGTGAAGGAGGGAGGAAGGAGAAGGAAGAAAAGAAAAGAAAAAGAAAGCCTTGAAGCTTGAATAGGGCCTGTTCAGCCCTTTTGTTCTCTATGTGTTCTAAATAAGTGAAGCTTTTTTATTTTAGCCATTTAGTATAGAACTTTTTTCTCGATGATAGAATGCTATACTGCTCACTCGATTAGTGTATTAAATGTATTTATCTTTGTCTTGATATTTCAGTGTCATTTTAAAACTAACATTGGGGTTTACTATCCTGATACCCCAAGAGTGAATTCGTTGAGGATAACAGGACTGTTTGCTCATTTTTTGTTACGGCTCCAGAGTTGTGTTTTTGCAATCCTATGTACTTCTTTTTTTTTATGTTTTAGCAGCTTTAAACTAATTCTTTTATCAGGTATTATATTGTTTTTCTAGGATTACTGTAACAAAGCACCACAAATTGGGTGGCCTAAAATAACAGTAATTTATTCTCTCACAGTATAGAAGCTTGAAGTCTGAAATCAAGGTGTCTGTAGGGGAATGATCCTCTGAAGGCTCTAGTGAAGACTCGTTCCTTGCCTCTTCCTTCTCATGGTCACCAGCAATCTTTGGCATTCCTTGACTTGGAGTTGCATCATTCTAATTTCTGCCTTTCATCTTCACATAGCTGTCTTCCCTTTGTGTCTGTGTGTCTCCAAGTCTCCCTCCTTATAAACACACCAGTCTTGGATTGGTACCCACCCTAATCCAGTCTGACCCCATCTTAACTTGATCACACCTATTTCCAAATAAGATGACATTCACATATACCAGGGGTTAGGATTTGAACATATCTTTTGGGGGGATACAGTTCAACCCATGGCAAGTGTCATGGTCTCTAGCTGAGCCTGCCCCTTCTGTTTTGCTCCTCTTTGGTTGCTATGGATTAGGGACCAAATAGCCAATCATACTAGAATTGCACAAAGACTGGATATTTGGGAATAATGAGGATCTATTTTATGAGCTTTGGTAGTTAATATTTCATGTGAATGCAAAGAGGCCCTTTTTTTAGTTCATTATTATTTTGGATTTCTCTTTTTGTTTATTTTTTTTTTTTTCTGCGAAAGGGTCTTGCTTTGTCGCCTAGGCTTGAGTGCATTGACATCCTCATAGCTCACTGCAACCTCAAACTCCTGGACTCAGGTAATCCTCCTGCCTCAGCCTCCTTAGTAGCTGAGACTATAGGCTCAAGCCTGGGTTATTTTGGATTTCAGCACTTACGTGTTATAAATGTAAGTGACAAGTTACGGTGTCTCATAAAATTATCATCGTATCAACAAACATTTAATGTGCACCTACCATACTAATTGAATATCTCTATCCTGGTAGGAGACAGCAATCTTGTAAATCTTTGACTTAAGAGGAAAAATCATACATGTCTAAATCATTTGGGGTTTTGATGGATATCTCTGAAATTGCTGCACCTAATCACTGGTTTTATGGGTCATCGTTTAGGTATCTCAGGAGCATTTGGATAATGTGATTCTTGGGATGCCGTGATGTCGACTCTCTGCCCGCCGCCATCTCCAGCTGTTGCCAAAACAGAGATTGCTTTAAGTGGTGAATCCCCTTTATTAGCAGCTACCTTTGCTTACTGGGACAATATTCTTGGTCCTAGAGTAAGGCACATTTGGGCTCCAAAGACAGAGCAGGTACTTCTCAGCGATGGAGAAATAACTTTTCTTGCCAACCACACTCTAAATGGAGAAATCCTTCGAAATGCAGAGAGTGGTGCTATAGATGTAAAGTTTTTTGTCTTGTCTGAAAAAGGAGTGATTATTGTTTCATTAATCTTTGATGGAAACTGGAATGGGGATCGGAGCACATATGGACTATCAATTATACTTCCACAGACGGAACTTAGTTTCTACCTCCCACTTCACAGAGTGTGTGTTGATAGATTAACACACATTATCCGGAAAGGAAGGATATGGATGCATAAGGTGAGTGGTTTCAGCTTACTAACTGTGCTAACCTAACCATTGAAAGTTTATTTTCTGATACATTTATATCTAATTTTTAGAAATTATATGCAATTGACATCAAACAATAGATGTTATTTATTTTGCATCTATGCTATTAGATGCAGATAGATCTGGTCTGATGGCTATGCTCTTCGTAATCACTTTGGAGGGTAAGAGATGGTAGCTCCACATTATAGATAAAAAGCTAAAGCTTAGAGAAATTCAGAAGCTTTTAGAGCCTGGATTTGTCTTGGAAGCCTTTGAGCTAAAACGTTTTTTTCCCCCTTTCATTGCATGACCCTGTCTTTCAATTACTACTATGTGTTAAATATAACAGTGC